GCGCGGACGGGGCCGCCTGCGGGGCTCCCCCGGCCAGGCTGGCTCGGGCCCAGCGGCGGGGCGCCGGGCCCCGGGGAGCCCCGGAGCTCGGCGCGCGCTGGGGTGCGGGCGCGGAGCCGGGGGCGGCCTCTGACAGGCATAGGGGCGGCTGGAGGGCCGGTCGGGAAGTGTATCTGGGCGACTTACAAGGTAGGGCGCCCGCGTGGGCTGGAGCCGCCGGCTTACACCGGGGCCACGGAAGGGGGCCATGTCGGGGAGGGTGGTTTGCGGGCCCAAATGTATTGGGAGTGAGCGGTCGTGCACAATTGTCTGTGGACTGAGAGCAGAAATCGGGACATCTGGGGAAGAACGGACTGACTGGGGGCCGCTGGAGCAGGAACTTCCTCTGGGAGAAAGGTTCCGGGGACCTGGGGCTGTTTGACGGGGTGCCAGTGAAGAAACTGAGGCTCGACATCCAGAAAATGGGAAGAACATCGATGGGCCCAAATGTGAGGACTGAAGAGGAAATTCCTAAGTAGGGGTTAAAGACCCCCGGAACTTGGTGGGGGGATTTTAACCTTGTTTTATTTCAGTTTCGTTTATCCAGTAGGTATTGATCATGCTTCCAGACAATGCTTTACTTAGAGTTTGCAACTCAGAGCCAACAGGCAAAGGCGTTTCCTCTTAAACGTGTGCTGCCTGGGGATGGCTGTAAGCATTAAGTAATTGGGAAAGAAGGGTTATTTTGTGAGTGCACCTCTGAGCTGTCCGCGCCTCTGCCTCTCTCCCTCACCCGTTCCCCAGTCAGGCCACCGTGCAAGTGTTGCCGTCAGAGGACAGCTTGCTAAAGATACTCATTTCCTTCTACCATGTGAGTCCTGGAAATTGAACTGAGGTGGTTATAGCGCTTCTACTGGTGATTAGAAAACTTGAAAAAACTCGCTTTCCCCATTTCTTTAAAGGATATTAAATGGGTGTTTTAAGCCTGGAATTACAAGTCACCAACCATTTGTACAAGTCCCAAAACGATGAAGGAAATTAAAAATGGCAGGTACTAATTAGCTAGAACTTAGAAAAAAATTGCACACGAAATTTAAAAGCCATTGAACAGTTTGTTTTGTTGTTGTTTTGGTTTGGTTTGGTTGTTTTGGGGTTTGGGTTATTTTAAACAAGGTGAGTAGTGTGTCCTATAATTCACTATGTAGGTCAGCCTGGCCTGGAACTCACAGACAGTTCCGTGCTTCTGCCTCCCGAGTGCTGGTACTAAAGGTCACCACATCAAGCCATTGAAAGTTATAAACATTAGTGTGATCAGATTTGCTGTGATTTAATTAATTGATTGATGTATTTATTTGCAATACTGAGGGCAGAACCCATGGTCCTGTTCATTCTCATCCTGATGTACATCCTTGGCCCCAGAATTGCATTTAAAACTTAAAAACTCAGTCTACTCTGTGGAGAACATTGAGGAAATGGGAAGGAGGCTGCTGAAATCACTCTCCTCTTCCCTAACCTTTATATAGTACTTGCTGTATATGGTGCACAATGTTCTAGGTATGACATTTTATAGATGAAACTGGTACCCCAAGAAATTAAGTAACTTGTCCAGAGTTGCCGTGATAATGAGTGCCAGAGCCCGAGCTTAAACACCTAGCTTAAAAACTCAAGTTGGCTCTAGAGTCTTAATTTTTTCATTCGTGTGTGTGTGTGTGTGTTACCTGCATGTATGCTGTGTATCATGAGTATGTGGTACCTGTAGAATCCAGAAGAGTGTCCAGTCCCATAGGACTGAAGGGACAGACAGTTGTGAACTGGTAGTAGGTACTGGAATTGAGCCCAGTACCTTTGGGAGAACAGCTTAACTGCTGAGGCCTCCTTCAGCCCGGCTAGTGTGGTCTGATCTCAGCCACCGCAGCAGTGGTGCTAGTGAAAGGTAATGGGACCATTGATTAGTATGACAACACTTCAACTAAGGGGATTCAGTCAGTGGAGAGAGCTCATGTAGAATGTCAGGATGGGTCAGGTGTGGGATGTCAGAGATGATCTTTGCAGGGTTGCATGTGTTACTCCAAAGGAGTGATGGATTTTGTCAAATGAGAGAAGGAAAGGAAGGATGAGTTATGTAAGCTTACCACTTTCAGCCCCCTAATTCTTGAAGACCATAGGAATTCACACTTTAAAAATGCAAGCTTCTGGCCTTGTGGAGGTTAACTTGCTTCTCTGAAACTCAATTTTGTTCTCTGTAAATGAAGATGATAACAAAATCTACCTCAGAGTGGTGCTTTGGAAATGGGATGCAGTAAAAGTTAAAGGACTTTGTACTGAATCAAAGACATAGCATTGTTCAGTAAATACTTCTAAATACTGAAGTTGTTCTGCTAAGCTCCACTTCCCCTTGGAGAACTGTATCTGTTCTGATTGCCCTTTCCTATCTTACTTTCGGATAAGAAAAATGAACTGAAGTAAGTAGTTAGTAAGCAGTTGGCAAATATGAGATGCTAGGTACAGGAGATTTAGAGGGGAGAGATGCTAGAAGGTAGGTATCAGCAGAATAATCTGTGAGAGAGAGAGAGAGAGAGAGAGTGTGTGTGTGTGTTACTAGGGATTGAACTACAGGCCCTTTGCATGCCGAGCAGGTACTCTACCACTGAGCTAAGCTGTGTCCCCAGTACAGTCATTTATAGAGGAGAAAATGGGCAGTTAAAGACTTAGTCTGCCAGGTCATTTCGGGCAAAGCCACTCCAGGGTTCTGGCCAACTGAACACCAGTTAAGATATGCCACTGCTAATTTAAACTGTTCTCACAGTATATATGTTGTAGGTGAAAACTTAAAAGGGTGTTAAACTGTTAGAACCCTTTTGTAGTAGAAAACATTAAGTAGATATGTTGATATCTAGAGCAACAGGTGGGAAGGGAGAAAATGGGTAAGATGTGGCTCTACATTCCGTTTAATAGAGCTGTTTAGCTATGACAGCTTTCATAGACATACTTACTAAGATTTAAAATGATTTCTTTAATGTACTCATAAACAATATGACAGAATAATGGAACTATATAATAATGTAATTGTGTATATTTTCAGATGAGGGCAAGGATAATACCAGTCATCTGTAAATGGAATATAATAGCAAAGACTTCTCAGGGTACAGTGTGATAATTCATGTAAAGTACTTTGAAATTGGATAACTGTATAATTCAATAGCTAAGGCAGGACACTTCCATGAGAGGAAACAAATAGGAATAAACACTGTAGAAGTGTTTGCTGCTGCATTCAATTCAAGTGACTCAGTGTTAAGCACTTTTGTTTACCAGGGCCACTACATTCATCCAGTTTGCTCCATTGGCTGTGGACTAATTCAACCATTGAATAATTTTTCTATGGCTAAGATAGTTTTTCAAAACAAAGTTTTATCCTTAAATTATACACTTGCCTAATTCTCCTGCGTTAGCTTTCTAAATACTGGGTTTGTAGGCATGTCTGCTTAAATTTTTTTTAACTTGATTTTGGTTTTACCATCCAGCTTGTTTAAACTGGACATAAGTACCTTAAATGAGGCCAGCATTTACAGGGCAGACTCATACTATCTTGTTTATTTATCTGTCTACCTTTTATGTATATTCTTAAGACTGTTGACCTTAAAAATCATCCTAATGATTTTAAACGTCATGAAGGGTGGGGACAGGAGTTCTGGCATGAGGAATGCAACAAATGGAGCATATGTAATTCATCTTAATAACTTATGAGTGATGGTAATGTGATGAAAAATCTAATCTGAATTTATGTAAACATTATCTTTACATCATCATAGTTTTTCTTCAAGCTATTATCAATAAAATAGTTTCTAAGCTTCCTTTGGTTGGTTGTTTTTATAGAGTAGCCTCATGAGATTAGTACAAGCAATCAGATTACTTACAGAATCGTGCTTCAATCATGGAAACTAATGAATTCAAAAGTGTTTTAGGTATGTTCAGTATAGACCTAAATTATGAGGCGTTGTTAAAAAAATTAAAAATTCTTATACCATTTGTGTTAGGAACTCTAAAAAGAATAGGAGCCATCCTATTTGTTGTTAGAGTATACTGTAAAAGGCATATATTTTATGGTAGTAATTCTTGTCTAGTTTTCTAGGCAGTAACTGTCCATACAACATTTAAGAAAGAATGTTGTGACTTTGCTATAATTTGAGAAAAACAATCACAACTGGGTAGAGTTTTGAATACATAATATGTATCTGCATAGATACACAACTGTATATATAGGTAAGTATCTTAATTTACTCATAACATTCTTAGAATGTTGCAAGTTGTGGGTTAAAATTTATCATAAAGAAAAGGTTGTGTTTAGGGGGTTTCCTATGGTCAGGCATTGTGTCCTTTCACTTTTATTTTCAAGATGCTTCGCAACAGTCCTGAAAGCCAGATAGTTTTATTCTTACTTTAGAATGAAGTTCCATGTTGATCTCATATGCTCACACAACCAAAATCATTATCTACAGGTTTTGATGTCTGGCCCAGAGCTGTGAAGAAATGTGCTTAAAGAGGGATAGGGCTGACGTGTGAGGAGGGTCTGAGTCTGCCTAGTTAGGAAGCCTCTCCAGTGCCAGACTAGTTTAACCACTTCCCACTCATGCCCGCCTGCTTGGTAGGTCCTCAAGTGTGTCCAGTCCTAACGTGCCTTCCAGCACCTGGGATTCTCCTCTTCTGTTAACGTTAGCTATGTAGTTACTAACCACATGTGGCTTGGCAGTCTCCTGTCTAGCCACATTGCTTATGGGCTTTTCCCAGTTGCAGTCAGTTTTGTACACTGTCTTCAGTTTGCTCCTACTAGAACACTCTGCCCCTGTGACTTTAACAGCTCAATTGCCTACCAACATATACCATCCTCCTGAAATATGCTTGTGAATTAGCATTTGTGTTATTGGAGTGAATTGTCCTCCCTCATCCTGTCTTCTGAGGTTCTAATATGCCTGTTCCTCCAACTCAGCTAGAGCTTACAGCTTTCTGCCTGCTGGTGTGGCATGAAATGGGTGGACTTCAGCATTCTTTCCTTATTAGTCAGAATAGCTAGCAGATTTTGAATACTGCTCTGGAACTCAAACCAAACTATACTTTCCTCCATCTTCTGCTCTGTCTTCCACATACTATTTTTCATTGGCCCCTCTCTTGATAACCCCTTTTCTTCGTTCTTTTATATAATTACAGCTTATCTATGCAAATATATTAATCCCGTTTTTATTTGGATGACAGCATACTATACATTTCTGTCTTGTATTTTAATTTGTCTCTGTATTAAAAAGGATTTCCTCATTCTTTGTTTCCAGCATAATATCATGTTCTTATACCAAAATTTATTTAACTTGTACACCTACTTATAGACATCTGGGATGCTTTTTATTTATTATTACAATGATAAGGTGTATAAATGATGTCATATTGCTTAATCCAACTTAGAACTGATACTCCTGCGTGAGTGAAACCTATGTTAGAAATTTTGAGAAATATCGATAAAGAGCCACTGAGATCCCACCTCCTCTGATTGTCTCCAACAGCTTGTGCTGTTTAACCACCACGGCCACCTCTGTGTGTCGATTCGGTGCTGTTGCTACACCAAGAGAGAAAAAAAGGCTTAGCTTCAGAATTTACTCTTATGCCTTGTGCACAAATTGCTCATACCTTTTGTAAAAGTAATTGTTGCTATGATAGTGAAAATAAGTGCTAGTCTTTGTTAGTGTTTAGTTGAGGCAATGCTCTTTAGAAAGCCTCTGTTAGCATTAAGAACCCAAATTTAAAATATTGAAGTCAGGCTGGGTGTGGTAGTTCACGCCTTTAATCAGCATTCCAGAGGCAAAGGCTGAATGATCTCTGAGTTCAAGGCTAGAATGGTCTACATCATGAGTTTCTGGGCAGCAAAGACTACATAGAGAGACTCTACCTCAATGGGGAAAAAAAAAAAAGATCTTGAAGCCAGCCATGTTGCCTCGCACCTGTAACAGCAATTAGGAGGCTGAGTCAGAGAGATGCTGTGAATTCCAAGCTAGCTACCAAAAGAGATCAGGTTGGTTGAGGCTGTTGATTTTGTTTACTTGGCTTGCAAACATTTTCCAAAATCTTCACAAATAGGAGTACTACATTCATATGCACAGCTGGCATGATCACAACGCTTAGTTTAAATATTTTTAAGTCCCAGACTTGAGATCTTGAGTATGGGGCTAGTTAGTTCCTCTGTCTGTTTCCTACTGCATTTATAACTGACACCTGAGTACTCTAAGGTAGATAGCCCAGAATCCAGGAAGAAGGTAGGGCTTGGGAAGCATCAAGAGAGGAGCAAAATGTCTGAAGTATTGGTACTTCGAGATCATTGAACAAAACGGAGGTCCCTTTTATCTTATTTAAAAGGTCGGTGTTGGTATGCATAATACACACACCTTCAGACTTATCTTTTTACTTCTTCATGTGCATGCATGAGCTCATGCATGCAGGAGTGCACATGCTGGAAGAGCACAGAGTGACAGAGTCCTGGAGGTGGTGTGACAAGTAGCAGTGAATTGTCACACTTCGGTGCTGAGAACTGAACTCGGGTCCTCCGGAAGGGCAGTAGGCATTCTTAACCACTGGGCTGTCTCCAGCTCCAAGCCATGCTTTTCCTCCCAGCACTAGACAGACTGAAGCAGACTGCTGTCTCTCAAGTACTGGGAGTATGAAGCCAGCATGGTCCACATGGAGAGTTTCAGGACAGACAGGGCTACGCAGTGAAACCTTGTCTCAGAATGTGTGTGTCTGTCAGAGAGAGAGAGAGAGTGCTTATAATCAGAAACTCTGCATTTTATTTTCTTTAGGGAGGACCCTGTTTTATTTATCTCTGGACTCTTCAAATTGTTTGGTCATTGAAGCTTGAAAGCATTAGTATTTTTGGAACAAAGTTAATGATGGATCAGATGAATCTCTAGCTAGCTTGAGCAGACTTTCAGAGAAACCTATTTTAAGGGTTTTAAGGATGCCCTATACTGGGCCCTTCTCGCCTGCACCTGTGCTTAAACATTGTGCCTACACACAGGCGCTGTTGTCAGGGACTTTGCTGTTGACTCATGCAGGCTGTCCAGGAGTTACTCATCCTTTACATCTGCATTCAAAACGTAATGCACTTCATTAAAAAGAACAGTCCAGAGAACAAACAAAATGATAAAATGGTATCTAAGAAAATAATTTTTCATATCTGTAGGCTGCTTATCAGAAACAATCATTAATATTGTCCATTACCTGTGAATCCCTCCAGAGATATTTTCTGGATGTATGTACTTTTTTAAACATTTTTACACATTGGACAGCTTACTGTGCTTCTCTGACATTGCTGTAATTATCTAAAGATATTGTTTTGGCTTTAACATGTGAGTGCATCATAATTTAACAAACCTCTGTTTAGGTTTACAGTCTTTGTACTGCAGACAACACTGCTAAAACATCTCTTTACATCTGCTGTGCATGGTGGTGCACACCTGTAATTCCAGCCTCTTCTACAGAGTTTCAGAATAAGCTACTTCACTGTAGCTTCACTGTCTCAAAACTCAAAAGGGGGAAAAAAAATTCTAGGCTCAGCGTGGGGGGGGGCGGTTGTCCATTTCAAGCATTGTTAATTCTATCCCAGACACTACATGTGTAGCTGTGTATAAGTAGTTTCTGAACATCTTATCAACAGTTTTATTACTGAGTTATGATCTGGTAGGTGGAGGTGATTTTTTTTTTTTTTTCCTATTTCCATTTGCCTTTCTGATTATGGCCCAGCCATAATCAGATTATTTAGTCCCAGTAAGAACACTAGCTCAGGACTGCCGAACAGGCTGGTTTGGACCGCATTTGTAACACTCATCATTCTGCACTGCTTTTGTGTTCTATTTTCTCTTTGCAGTGGGGCAAAAATCAGGCACCGGAGTCATGTATAGTGGCTCACACCTGTCCATCCTATCATGTGGAAGGCAGAGGGTGCATAGTGAATTCCAGGCCAGCATGTACTGTCTCAAATAAGAAAATAAAACAATGTTGCTTTAGAGCAACTAAATTATAGTACTTCCTGAATATGTTCTTTTTTTTATGACTTGTCATTCTTTTCGTAACTTGATACTGCATGCTAGGAAACTTTTCTCTGTTTTTCTGTCATTGCCTCTCACTTAGCTAGAGATCTGTACTATTCTAGCTTCCTTTGGTTTGGACAAGTTTTGTTGTTGTTATTGTTTTTTTTTGTTGTTGTTTTTGTTGTTTCACAATTTATTCATTATATATCCTGATTGTAGCCCCCTCCCTCATCCCTCATTTCCTCCAGGTCCCCTCCTCCCTTCCCCTGCCATCTGACCCTAGCTTATCCAGACTCATCAGGACTGCCTGGATCCTCTTCCTCTGTTGCCTGGCAAGGCTGTACTGCCAGGGGAAAGTGATTAAAGAACAGACAACCAAGTTCATGACAGAGGCGGCCCCTGTCCCCCTTACCCCTTAGTTAGGGACCCACATGGAGACTGAGCTGCCTATTGGCTACATCCAGGCAGGGGTCTAGATCTTCTCCATACACAGGCCTGCATTAGTCTCTGCAGGCCTCACTGGGCTTAGATTTTTTTTAGCTTTGTTGGTCTCCTTGTGAAGCTCCTAGACAGGTTGTTGTTGTTTTTTCAAAAGTGGTTCTCTTAACAGTTATTGACTTAGTTTTTCTGATAGACCTGAAAATTTTCTGTTAGCCCATAGAATGCCAACTCTGAGGGAAGTTTCACCTAGGACCTCAACCGCTAGGGCCTGAGGGGTTACACATACCACAATCACTTTCCTTTGAAAAGAAAACAACAAAGGAAGACAGATTATTAATTGTGGCAAGATGCACATAATTTTTACCTTCTTTTAGGTGGTACCTCAACTGGTTGCATTAAGTGTACTTCTATTTTAGTAATTGTCCTTTGAATGAGCAAAAAATAGTAATCCTGCCTGTCTTGAGAGTTGCCCAGACCAAATGTTTTACCCTTTTCCCTCCAGACGAAGTTATCCGGAAGCGTCTTCTAATCGATGGAGATGGTGCTGGGGATGACCGGAGGATTAACCTCCTGGTGAAGAGCTTCATTAAGTGGTGCAACTCTGGATCCCAAGAGGAGGGGTACGTCACTCCACTTTCGTTTCTGTGCCAGCGCCCTGGTCGGATTTTATCAAGACCATGTTAAATAGTTCCACTCACCTTACCTGTCCAGTATAGCCACTTCTTGGTTGATCAAAAGTGGTAATTTTTTTTTCCTGTCATTGTCTTTATAGGCCTCCTTTATGTTTGTATAGTATGCAGGAAGCACAGTAGTAAAAGAAGAAATAAAGACTAATTCTGGCTTAATAATTTGATTACGTTAAGCAAATTAGTATTTGCTAAGTATCTCTAAATGAAGGTTTCTCTTTTGTTAATATATAAGTTGCTGCAAAACAGTTATGCACTAATTTTATGACATTTGTTCTGGACTTACTTTCTCCTTTAAGTGACTGTATAGAGTAGGAAAGTTGTAAGAACAGAATTCTGAAGAAAACCCTTAATCAAAATATTATTAAGGGTGATTTAAATAAATCAGACAAATCGTTTGGACTGAGCCTACATTGTTGAAACCAGTCATCTCTTCTTGCCTTTGTAACCAGGACACCTTATAAATTCACGTACACTGAGTCTAGCAAAGAAAATAGTAAGGGTGGATGTTGTAAGCTATTTTAAATAAACAAACAATTCTGTCGGAACGTGGTTTCATTTAGTTTACCATATTTTTAATTTTCTTTCTATTTTCAATTAGATATAGCCAGTACCAACGTATGCTGAGCACTCTATCTCAGTGTGAATTTTCAATGGGCAAAACGTTGCTGGTATATGATATGAATCTCAGAGAAATGGAAAATTATGAAAAAATATACAAAGAAATAGGTAAACATAATTTTTCTTTCTGGAATTGTAATTTTGTGGTTTAAAGGAAAAGTAATTTGGTAATATTTGCATTATAATAAAACAGTATCAGTAATTAGAGTAGTATAAAGGATCTGTCACTGTCAGCAGCCACAGTATTGTGTAACAAGATATAGCATTTTGTGTTGTAGATACTTTTTAGAATGCCATTGTCTCTTGGGTTATCAGTGGAACTTCTGTTTAAAAGCACAGATTATACATGCTGTCATAACTACCTTCTTAAAACTACCTTTTTGTCTAGAATGTAGTATTGCAGGAGCACATGAAAAAATTGCTGAGTGTAAAAAGCAAATTCTTCAAGCAAAACGAATACGAAAAAATCGACAAGGTAAGATGTGAAGGACTTGGTATACAGATAGTTTATTCCTGACTAAAATTCCCAAGAAGGTTTTAATATTGAAAGGTATAACCTGCGACATAAATCAGTTTGTAAAAATAATTAGCAATTATATTTATTCTTAAAACTGTTACTTATTAAAATAGAAAAGGCAAGGTGTAGTGAAAAGATTTTATTTTGCTGAATTTTATTGGTTATGCAAGTATTTCTCAGTATTTTTTACTATTTTCAGATCCTATTCCCTAAGCAATGTTACAGTTAATCTGTAAAGATGAACTACATGACAGACTGGGGTATTTATTTGCTCGTTTAATGAATCTACTTTCAAAAAAAAAAAATGGAAAGGAATTTTAACCTTTTGTTATTTACAAAGCAAGGAAACATTACCCACAAAATACCTAATAGAAAAGTTAAAGTTTAGAGGACAGCACATTGGTCCAGCAACCACTTGACACTAAGCGCCAAGCATGGCTACAGAGCTTGAGCCCCAAGGCCTGCATGGTAGGAGAGAACTGAGTTCCTCGGTGCGCTATACTACTCCCATACACATAAATACACAAAAATAAATAAATGTAAACATTTTTAAAAACAGATTAAGGAGCTGGGCACAGCGAATCACGCCTGTGATCCCAGCACTCAGGGAGGCAGAGGCAGGCAGATTTCTGTGAGTTCAAGGCCAGCCTGGTCTACAAAGCAAGTCTAGGATAGCCAAGGGTACACAGAGAAACCCTGTTTCAAAAAACCAACCCCCCCCCCAAAAAAAAGACTAAATTTTAATTCTAATCTCTTTTAAGTTTTGATCTCCTTTGTCTAGTTCATAAAATATTTGAAAATATTTTAATTTTGTACATGTGTCTGTGCAGGTACATATGGATGCCAGAAGTGGCCATCTTATCCCTAGAGTTGAGGCAGTTGTGAGCTGTACATGAATACTGGGAACTGAATTTTTGGGTTCTATAAAAGAGCAATGTTTAAACTATGAGTGGTGGTATATACTTGAACTCCCATCCCTTGGCTAAAACTCGAGGGCTACAAATTCTAGGTCAGCCTGGCATAACGAAAATTTAACCTTTAGATAGATAAGTGGATAGGTAGATAGATTGCTAGGTAGGTAGGTAGGTAGGTAGGTAGGTAGGTAGATAGATAGATAGATAGATAGATAGATAGATAGATAGATAGACAGACAGACAGACAGACAGATATGACCTATAACTAGGTCTAGTAGAAATACAGACAGATAAAGAAATAAAAGCCATAACTATGACAGTACTGTGGTAAACTAAATAGAAATAGAAAATGTTGGTTTTTTGGGGTAATTGTAAGGTTTTATGGCTTAGATTCGTAGAATCTAAGATTCATGAAACTGGTCTAGAAGGATGTATTTTAATAGCTCAGTGTTCTTTGTTAGTTTTGGTGAAGGTGGTTAAAAACATTTAATAAGATCTTTTTCTAAATCAGTATCAGATGGCGATACTACGTTCATTTATGTTGCTGCCAACCTCTTGTATCCAATGAATGGAAAACCAGAAGTGAAAGCTAGAATCCCTGTTTGGAACATGTTGAAGTCACATATGCTTTTGTTCATGTTTAAGTTAATGGAATTGGCAATACCCTCCATCATAATCATTGTCTCTTTTGGTTTGGTTTGGTTTGGTTTGGTTTGGTTTGGTTTGGTTTGGTTTGGTTTGGTTTGGTTTGGTTTGGTTTGAGACATGGTCTCTCTGTGTAACAGCCCTGGCTGCCCTGAAACTTTGTAGACCATGCTAGGCTGGTAATAACAGAGATCCACTGACTCTGCCTCTGCCTCCTTAATGCTGGGGGAAAAAGTGTGCACCACCACGTTTGTTTTTTTAATTAAAATTTTATTTTTTAATATCAGTTACAGTTATTATTAACTTTGTATCCCAGCTGTAGCCCGCTCCCTCATTCCTTCCCAATCCCACCCTCCCTCCCTCCTCTCCGTCCTACCCCTTTCCAAGTCCACTGTTAGAGGAGGTCTTCCTCCCCTTCTATCTGACCCTAGTTTATCAGGTATCTTTAGGACTAGCTGCAATGTCCTCCTCTGTGGCCCAGCAAGGCTGCTCCTCCCTCGGGGTTAGGGGGAGCTCAATGAGCCAGCCACTGAGTTCATGATTGAGCCAGCCACTGAGTCCATGTCAGAAACAATTCCTGCCCCCCTTACTAGGGAACCCACTTGGATACTGAGCTACCATGGGCTACATCCAAGCAGGGGTGCACACCACTTTTAGGAAAGTGAATAAGAGTTAATTTTTAGGGACTGGAGAGATGACTCAGTGGTTAAGAGCACTGTCTGTTCTTCCAGAGGTCCTGAGTTCAATTCCCAGGAACCATATGATGGCTCGCAATCATGTACACTGGGAGCTGATGCCCTCTTCTGGCATGCAGATGTACATGCAGATAGAACACTCATAAAATAAATATTTTTTAAATGTTATTTTTTATTTACGCACTTTGTTTTGGTAATCCAGATTTTAAACAGCACCGTAATTTGTCAAATGTTTTTTTTTTTTTTGTTTTTTTTTTTTGTTTTTTGTTTTTCAGAATATGACGCATTGGCAAAAGTGATCCAGCATCATCCAGACAGGCATGAGACATTGAAGTAAGTACAGAGTTTTACAGGAACTAGTTTTATACATAACTGTAGGAAAACTACTCCACACATTTCTTTCTTAGATAAATACAGCATATATCAACAGAAAGGGTTATATTTTCAGTATTAAATAATATTTCATATCATGCATTGCTTGATTAGATCCTTTTCTTTCTCCAATGCTACTACTTATATGTCCAGAATAAATGTGTGAAATATGCTTCAAATGGAAGTAATGTGTACTATGTTAAAGTTAATTTTATTCATCTGATGTAATTGTCATCTTCGAGGCTTGCTACCTCCATCTACTAACCTAGGCCTGGTCCTGGAAGCTTCTAGCCTCTACACAATCTAGTCTAGGCCTAAAATGTTTTCAGATTCTGAGACTTACTGCTGAATAAGCTCACGCTTTCTATTTCTTTCTGAACTCGTGCTGGCTGGTTCAGCTCAGCTGTCCTGGCTCAAACTCCTCTCCAAACTGAGAGATTCAAACTGGCTTCTCTCAGCTTCTGACTGAATTGCTCTGCTTGGCCTCAAACTAACCCTAGCAATCTGTTCTAATCACATTCTCTGGTTCCTTCTGTCTTCACCCGTGTCTAACTTGTTCGGTCTTCAACCTGTCTCTGTAAAACTCTCTCAGAATTCCACGAACCAAGAACTGCCATGAACTCAAAACCACTGCACTGCCTCTCAACTCACTGACTCAACCAAATTAACTGAGTAGGAGATCTACATCTTCTGTCTGCTGAGTGCTGGGATTAAAGGGTCAGACTACCATGCCTGAACCTAAGCTTTTGTTTGCCTGAAACTTGCTCTATACCTGGCTGGCTTAGAACTCAGAGGTCTCCTTCCTTCTGTCTCCTGGGATTAAAGTCATGTCTGCATTCCAGCCAGATCACAGAGACTGAGAAGGGTTTTGGATATGATCTCTTGCCGGAGCAACCATCTTCTGAATTAAAATTCCTCTACATACTTTATTCTATTACTATAACAGAACACTAAATACCAATAACAAAGACTGCTAGATACACAATTTGGGCGAGGGGAACAAGGTTTCTCTGTATAGCCTTGGCTCTCCTATTCTCACTTTGTAGACCAGGCTGCCTTAAACTCACAGAGATCCTCCTGCCTCTGCCACCCTGAGTGCTGGGAATAAAGGCATGCACTACATCACCCGACCAGATGCACATTTTTAAAACAGCTCAAAACATAAACAGTAAAAAAAAAAAGACATTTAATGAAGTTCAAATTAATTATTTATATATAATTTATGAAAATTAGTAGCTCCTCAAGTATTCTATACTAATACTGTATGTTGTTCAGAGATGCAAACAGATGTATCTAAAGAAATCACAGTGATACAGTAGTATCTTAAGTGGGACGTAGATAAAAGTAAGTATGGATAGAAGACTGGGAGTCAAGTTCACAGATATTTGGAGGTAATTGGCAGTCTTTCTTTACTAAAAGAAAAACTTGAGGTTGGTGTGGAAAAAAATGTGTCTGTTCATGGGTTTATTCTATATAATTATATTTTCTTGTTATTTTAAAATTTGTATTTAAGAATGTAGTTGTAATAAATATAGTACAATTTAGGAGATAGGAAGTCATTCTCAGTTTCAAAAGCTTACCAAAGGAGTATTAGATTTCTTAGGTGTTATAGATGCTTTCTCGGCATGCAGTCTATGTACCATTTGCATGCTTGGTGCCCTGGCAGCCAGAAGAGGCATCAGGCCCCTGTGAGTAGAGTTAGAAACAGTTGTGAGGCACCTTGCGGGCACTCATTTGAAAGAGGAGCAAGTGCTCTTAACTACTGACCCATCTCTCAAAACCCGTTTATTTCCAGAATATTATTTGGTGTCTAAAATATTATATTTATGAATTTTCTTCCTTAGGTAGCAAAATATAATATCATTTTGTTTCTTCTCCCCTCCCCCTCCCAGGGAGCTAGAGGCTCTGGGCAAAGAATTGGAGCATCTCTCACATATTAAAGAAAGTGTTGAAGATAAGGTATTTGAAGATTTATGTTAGCTTCTATGTGCTTGTGTCTGTGTTTAAAGACAAACTTACGTAAGTTGTTTCCTTTTTAACACAGCTGGAATTGAGACGGAAACAATTTCACGTGCTTCTTAGTACCATCCATGAACTTCAACAGACATTGGAGAGTAAGTTTAAATCATTGCAAAATTATTGCTTATGAAGATTTTAAATGATTGGGGATACATTGGTAAGAGAGTCTCTCTCCAGAATCCAGTGGTATATATGGATGGCGTTAGAAAACACTCACTTGTTCACATTTCTGTACACTTGCAGAAGAGTGATAATTTTGTGGTAATCTGTGCTTTGCATACATGTCTAGTAGTAAGAAAACTTCAAGGATGATGAGTGTTTCCTTGCTAAGGATTAGGGACACGGGCAAGCTACTCTAAGTCAATGATGTGTTAGGCTGCCTGCATGTGTAGGAAATGCAGTACTCTGAGAAATTGAAGACTTGATCTTTCTTCTGACAAGAATTTTCTTGTGACTAGAATTTTCTGTGTTCTCTGATGTCTCATTGTTTAAAAAAAAAAAATCAGGCTAAGACCTAGATTTTTTCTAATGAAAGCTTTCATACAAATTACATATTCTTAGTAATATGTAAGAATAACCAAAGGTATCACGTGTGTGTGTGTGTGTGTGTGTGTGTGTGTGTGTGTGTGTGTGTGTG